TGCTATTACTGCCATGATAGTACAGATTTCTTCATATCTGTGATATCAGAATGCTTTTACATGCCGAGTCTTTTCTGAGGTGCATACGCCAGTGTGTGCTAAACTTGTGGTACTATTCTGGGGGAAGGAGTTGTTTCAGTGGGCTGTGGAGCTGGAAAGTGGGGAAACTCGGGGAACTCTGCAAAAAGAATGACCTATCAAGGTTTTCTTTTGCTTGGAAGTATCTGCTATGGCACAGTTAAGGAGGCGTGAATAGCACAAACCTCTCCGATTGCTTTAAGTGCTGCGTGAGCAAGGCTGCTCTTACCTGAGTTCAGCAGCCTCAACGAAACAGTGACAATTCTGAGAAGCAGATAGGCCTAATCAGCCCTCAGTTGCTTTCCTGTGTCTTATGGCTTCTTTCTTTCCCCAACCCTAACCCTCTGATTTGCCCAGTGAAGTGGGAGTAAATGCAATGGTACTTCCTCCCATCACTCCCCTTTGAAAAAATCAAGTGTGCAATTCCTTTTCAAACATCCTGCATCAAGGAACAACTAGCTGAAAAAGTGCTCCTACAAGTTTGCTCAGAAGTAAATTCTATCTTTTAGGGTGCTTGCTGTTGTCAGTCGTGAAGTCGTGTCCGACCCATCGCGACCCCATGGACAACATTCCTCCAGGCCTTCCAGTCCCCCACCATCCCCCGGAGTCCACTTAAGCTCATGCTGACTGCTTCAGTCACCCCATCTAGCCACCTCATTCTCTGCCGTCCCCTTGTTCTTTTGCCATCTATTGTTCCCAGCATTAGGCTCTTCGCCATGAAGTCCTTCCTTCTCATTAGGTGGCCAAAGTATTTGAGCTTCATCTTCAGTATCTGGCCTTCTAAAGAGCAGGCAGGGTTGATCTCCTCTAGGACTGTGCTTACTCAGAAATAAAACACATTCTTTTTGATGAGAATTCTTACTTTTGTGAATTCTTTTAGGGTGCAGGAAAATGGGGGCACTGATCCTACAGGCCATATTTCATGGGAGGTAGAGAAACAGCAGCAAACAGCATCAGCGCTTGACCCTCCTTTATCCTTAATTTTCTCCTCCTCCATGATTTTTTTTTTTTTTTTGTGAGGGGGCAGCAGATTTTTAATAAAACTTTTTAAAAAAATCTCTGCTTTTTCCACCAAAATCTGTACATAGTCTAAGAGATCAAAACAACAACAACAACTCCAAAACTGTTTCCAGCTCCTCTTAATTCTCCTGAAATTGTAATTGTGTGCAACATAATATCATGCTTTATCACAATGGACACATTGCATTTATTAGCATGTGCACCAACAGTGGTAAATACCTTTTACATAAATAGCATGTTAGCGTACCTTGAGAATTGAAAGGGGCTGTGGTATAGCTGCCTCCGCTCTAGCTTATATGATATGAACATGGATTTTCTCTGACTGTCTTTGTAAAGCAAAAAGGAATGTGCATACATGTCTTTCCTGCTTGTGAGGACCCTTGCTCCTGTCCAAGTGTTTAATATATTGTTTTAATAGTTGCTTATAGATATTTGGAAAAGGTAACATTAATTATGATCAATAAATTTGAAAAGAACAGTGGAACAACTTTAAACCAGTTGCTTAAAGTGATGGGTTATAATGTCAATACGTTGGCACAACCATTACTGTTTGATGTTTGTTTACATTATTAAGGAGAAATAGAGGAAAAGTTGTAGAGAGAAGAACTTCAACAGTAACGGTGTTGTCAAGTTTCAGCATTTGGATAGAGGTGGTTCACAATCATATTCATCCTCTTTGGAAGTGAGGTGTTGTTTTTAAATAACTAAAGCCAACATTCCATTGAATTTCAGCAAAGCTAATAAATTGGTTTGACCATATCTAAACTGCCGCCTATTCTCCTTTTGGACAATTTAGTTTACAATAGGGCTGCACAACCAGTCTGTAGTTTTTGTTTGTTGTCTCCCCAAAAATCTGTTGAATGACTTCTTGGATTGACAGTTTTAATCTGTTCCTGCCAAATGGTGCACTGAAAGGTTCTGACCTGTAATCTGTCTTCCTGTGAAATTTGTTTAAAATTCTGTACTGGCACTAAAGTTGTGCTGTTTCAAACATATTAAAATTTTCTATACTACACAATATTTGTTTGGTAAGAACTGCTTTGCCTTTCTTTGAGGCCAAACATATTTTTATCCAGTCTCCACCAGGCTTGTTTATACAAAATACTGGACTGACTCACTTTGTAGATTTCTCTGTCTTCATTATTGCCATCAGCTTCTATATATGATCCAGATAATTTTAAAGAAGTATGTTTAAAAGTACCATGTGCTACCTGAAGATTTATTTTAGCTTTGCTTTGGTGAACTATACAGTCATTAAAACAAAAATTTGTAGTTTGAATGAACATCCTCTGCTCTTCTGGGTCTTCTCGGCAGTATCCAACAGGCTCCTTCTGCTAGTGGAATGGACACCACTGGTGCATCAAACTATTTCTCCCGCTACAGTCCCTTGCACATATACCAAAATAATCCCAGATAATTATCCCTAGAACAAATTTAAGAGGAGTTCAGACAGAAGAGGAGATACTCCCATGATGCAAGCAGACAGCTGCTCACATCGTGTTGGATAAAATCCTTGGGAAACATACAATTATGTCTAACAGCACATCATCAAATGCTTGTGTTCCACCCTAATCCGGAGCAATTTTGCATGTGCACACATACATGCTGATTTGTAACACAACAGCATGTATTCAGCTGGTCCAGTTTCTTTAGCTATTTAATTTGTTTTTAAATTTTGTATGTTTAAGAAGTTATGTTATTATCTTAAATTTGTGGATTGTAATTTTTATGAACTACCCAGGGAAATTTGGCTATTGGCTGGCATTGAAATGAAACAAAGTAATGATAATAATTATTCCTACTTTGCCTGAAACTATGATGTGAACAGGAAGAGGGGGAATCCAGTTTGTTACCACTGTGATTGTGAGTACCACTCAGTATTTAAAAGGTGTAGTTGGATATATAAATCTATTTATTTTTATTTATTTAAAACATTTATATACAGAATGCTGTATATTTATCAACATTAAGTCACAATCTGCTCTGGTCTACATGTCAAGGTCTTTGGTCCTCAAAAACAAAATGAAAGGAAATGAAGACAGAAGAAAAAAGAAAAAGAGTAGGTCCCACCAACCCAAAAGGCCCTGGGTTTAGTCATTATGAAGAGGAAATTTCTATCACATTAAATAAATAGGATTTGTAAACATTTGTATCCATTATGAGAAAAGAAATGAAGCAACAATTTATCCTACATTAGATTGGGAAAATAAAAGATTTATGGCATCTATTGTAAGCTAATATGGATGCTGTTAATTTTGTGGTGGCAAATGTCAGAACTGAAAAGAACTTAGCTAAGTAAGGTTTTCCTGGCACTTAAAAATGATGAGATAAAATAGGTTCATCTGTCATAATCAGGCAGCAACTTGGTGAATAGTGTCATTGATCTGAAAGAGTGAGACTATAGTCTCTCAATGCTGCAATTGACTGGGAAACCGAGATTGTTATGTAGGAGAAAGATTCTAGTGACAAAGGCCTTATGAGATACTGTATCTGAATGTTTTTTTAACGTCTATTAGCATTAACTACATAAGAGTCCTGTCGAATCAGGCCAAGAATCCACCTAGTTCAGGATTTGGCTTCCCACGTTGGCTCCCAGGAAACACAGAAGCGGAGCCTTGCAACAACAGCCTTGTTCTGCCCCTGCTTCCTAGCAACTAGTATTCAGTGGCAGGCAGCTGCTAAGTATGGACACCTTAGCTAGCATTCATAGTTCATATTTGGTAATACATGGACCTCGTTTCCATGCATTTGAACAAGTTTGTGCAAGGGAAATCCTGGGGTCAAGCCATCTGCACACTTCCCTAACTTATTGATCAAGCATATCAGTCAAAGAAGAATATTATGAAATGAAAGTTTTTCCTCTATTGTGACATTTAAATTTGTATGACACAAGTTGGGATGAGATAAATAGAAACAGATTTAAAGTGGATAGAGGGAAAGGACTGAAAACCAGGTTTTATACCTGGTTTTAAAGGTATAAAAACGCAGGAAACCATGTCCTTGGAGGCAATTGTTTCATGAATTATAAAGCATGTGGGGAGCTAAGATGTTGCAATTATGAGTAGAAGGTTTTCTGTACATTTCCAAGGAAACAGGGAGAGTTGCAAAAAAGAAAAAAAACTGAACTGCTAGAGAGAAAGCAAGAGGTGTTGATAGATTGGTAGATTGTTGTATCAAGAGTCCTCTTTAGTCAAAATACTTGAAAAAAAGTCTGTATTTTATATTTTTAAAAAGGTACTGAGAGTTTAATTTGTGTAGGAGATATGTATCTTATTCACTCTGTATGCTTTGCTCCTTAATTATCTGTGTGCATTGAGAGGTTGCTAATACACAATTAGATGTCCCTTTTAAGTTATAAAAATGCAGTGTAATTCATTTTATAATGTAATGTCTAAATTTTTAATGAGGTTGATTGTAATGAAGAACTATTCAATATTTTTGTCATTTAGAAATATTTTTAGTTTCTCCCCTTTCTACTTGTGGCACAGCAGTGCCTGGATTATGTTGGCCCTACCACTGCTATTTTTTGAGTCCATGCCCCTGAGCTGCCAGACTCTGCCCTGAGCCCCTTCCACTCATGTGCCACAGTGCCTGCATTTTCATCTAAAAAGTGTCTGAAGATTTTAAGTTAACCACTTTGCACCCAGTGGAAAGTATTTTTCACACCCTCCTTGGTACTTTTCAAGGGTTGTCTTCCAAATCTATTCCCAAAATACCTCTTATGACAAAAAGGAATCTTCCTCTTTTGACATCCTCTTCTTCCAATGCTGAGAGGAGGATAATTCCATGAGCCTAAAGGGGCTCTTCCTGCAATCTGTCTAAGCTGAAGCAGCATCTAAATATTTTTGCCTCAATGGGTGGCATGTGTATTAAAAATCATACCGTATACTAAAGAGACTTACTGTATCATGTTGTCTATTATCCTTGCCCGATATGATCAGGAAGTAATTCCACACCAACAATAGCAACAAGACCAGAGGAATCATGTAGAACTCAAAATTCCAAGTCACAAAGAGAAAGAGCTAGAACAAATAGAAAGGCAGTGGTTATTCATGCTTAGATTTCCTGGAACTACAATTGCACAACATACGAGAACACATGCCATACAAAAACTATTCTCTTCTGCATATAAAGCTTGAATATACATTCTCTTAAATATGCTAGTTGCCTACTTTATCCCAAACAAAAAAACAAATTCATTTTCTTTTACACATTTGCTTCATATAAAAGTGATCAGGCAATTGCAATCTAAAGCCACACTCTCTATAGACAGTTTTATTTCTCTTACATGAAGTTAAGACACAAGTCCTTTTCAGGAAGACCAACATTTATAGGGTGCTTCTATCAGACCCAGCTGCGATGCCTATTTGGTTTCAACCACTCTTTAAGACAAGCACCCCAATGCTGTCAATATGCGTAGTAGCTTCTTGTCACCATAGGTCCTCCAGGATATCATGGGCTAACAGACCAGAACTGAGAAACCTGAAGTCACTGGCAAGTATGTTTTCAAGTGTATGTTATACAGCACTGGTTCAACTGAGATCACCATTTGGATTATCACTGGAGTGGAAAGGGAAATTCTAATGTTGGAGTCCTAATGACTGAGCTTGCCTAGCAAAGCATCCAGGGATGGCCAATGGGGACCGACAGGTATTTGCATATAACGCCAGTCCTTTATTGCTTACACTGGCTGCCAATTGAAGTCTGGGCCCAATTTAAGGTACTGGTGATGACCTATAAAGCCCTAAATAGAATGGGTCCTAGACACCTGAAAGAACACCTCCTTCACTATATGATCTCCCACCCCTTGAGATCTGAGGCGGAGGTCCTTCTTCAGGAGCCCTCCTTCAAAGAGATTATGAGGGGGTTACCCAGAGGACAGACTTCTCTGCGGTGGCACCCTGATTATGGAATATGCTTCCTAGAGAGGTTTGCCTGGAACCTGAGCTTCTTTCTCTTTGGTGCCAGGTGAAAACCATTTTTCCTCCTGTTATTTTAATGTTTAATTGGTTTTAATGTGGTTTATATTGCATATTGTGCTATTTCAATCTCTATTTTACTTGTTGTTTGTTCTAAACTGTCCTGGGATGCTAATATAGGTATGGTTTATAAAAGCTCTTTTTTTAAAGACATTGTACTGCCTATAGTTAAGAACAAGATGCCCCTTTATAAGCCAACTGAACTGGTAGTTGCAACTTCTTCCAGCACTAACAATGAGACACCTGCATATTACACCTATACTATACCTGAAGGCCACAAGCTAGTGTAGAGGTTTTAGGGGAAATCAGGTAGCTTGCAGCTTTCTCCTTTGAAAGCTTGTCGCCACCTCTCAGCATCTGCTGCCTAAGGCAACCACTTCAGTCCAAATAAAGGTAAGGCTGGTAAGTAGTAGCCAGTGCAAGAGGTAGATAAAGAAGGAGAACACATAGGAGAATTTATAAAAAGAAAACTGATCCTCAGAACCACAGGCGGTAATCACTGGGCCAGGTTGCATGACATGAGGGTAAGCCACAGTGGCTTTTTAACCAACCTATGTATGCCAAGCATATGATGGGCCAATTTACAAAATTACACTTGCTGGGCACAGCTTCTCATGTTGTCTGAACCCAGTAGATAGGGCTTGTTGAGCTGGTTAACTAATCACACCCAGAACCATTGACTGTTATAGAATTGTGGGGCGCTTTGTTACCCAGCCCAATACACTCAAGTCAGATGACATGAGAAGCCTTGGCAGTCTTCAGTTAGAAACTTGGTCATTGTTCTAGCATAGGTATCATCCTTTGAAGACTCCCACTCAGGACAGAAAGCCTCTTCACACACGTCTTTGTATGCACACATAAGTCATTTGACAAAGCATGCCTTTTATTTCAGAAAAATATTATTAATATGCAGGTTGATGCAGATTTTGCCAATTCACGGATTGAAATGCATTAATAATCAGCTATGATTAGCATAAACTAGACAGCAGCCCTATAATCAGTCTGATCCACAACACAAGTAGTTAAATCAATACAATGATATCCCAATTGGTTAGACAATCTTTATGAGAACTTCTTCCAAAGTCTTCTCTTAACCAAAACCTCCAGTACAAAGACACCTAGAGCAAAGGCTCTTATTTTTAGGACCTGTAGGCATATTTAGAATTTTGAGAAGGAGTCATGGGTGCTGTCACAAAATATTTGCTTGGTGGAGTTTGCCCATTCACAAAACAGCTGATCTCCCACTTCCCAGATGACAAACTGTTAAGGCTAAACAGAACTAAGAGGCCCCAGAACCAGACTTTTTGTTCCACAGATTCCATGACAACCATGGGACTGTTCCAACATCACATGGGTCCTACACACATGGCAGAGCATACCTTAGACCTGTTTTTTTCCCTGTTGAGTGTGGGACTGTTGATCTGAATGAGGGAGACCTTGATTAAGTCTTTGTCATAGGCAGATCCCCACCTGCTTAGGTTTAGACTGGTGGTAGCTTTTCCCCTCTGCAAGCGTGAGGGACCCATTAACATGTTTGTACTTAGAGGTCTCCACAGAAATTACCCAGGTGGTTGACATGGTCACCCTTGCTGTAGTAGAACTCAAATACTCCCCCACCCCCAGTACACTGAGAGCAATGAAATGAAACAGGAAAAGGCTTGAGTGAAAACGGAGGAAAACCCCTAGTGGTGCCAATCAAACACTGGGGTGCACTTATAATCAGGTATACATAGGGGCAATGAGAGCAGCAAAAACAACATTTCATTACCTCTATTCAATCTTCTATTTGCTGCCCTGTGGAACCTTTTAGGGTCATTTGGGAACTATTACATATTGGCCTTCAGAATGCTGTAGACATGACTAAACTCTGCTGTAACATACTTCTAGAGAAATTCCCTTACAATCACCAGTACTTAGACTTCAGTGTTAGCAGCAGTTGAATCTGGCAAGGTTCCCAAAACACAGTCTAGTCCAGTTTTATTGGATGAATTTCAGTTGGTGCCACTTGAGAATGCTGACAAGGTGTTTGGACAGGTTTGCACAACTATCTCTATTCTAGATCCTTGCTTCTCTTGGTTAATGAAAAACAGCAGTGAGGGAACAGCTCACTGAATCAGGGATGGGATTAATGCCTCTTTGAGAGAGGGTGTAGTCCCATGCTGCCTGAGACAGTGATGAGACCATTCCTTAACCCCTCTGGACCAACTTCAGGCCAGTGGCAATGTTCCCTTTCCTGGGCAAGGTTCTTGAGCAGCTGGTGGCCAACCAGTTCCAGGATGACACTGATTATCTGGATTCATTTCAGTTGGGATCCAGGCCTGGTTTTAGAATAGAAACAGCTCTGGTTACTGTGTATGATGAACTGTGTTGGGAAAGAGAGAGGGAGAATATGATCCTGTTGACACTCCTGGATCTTTCAGGAGCTTTTGATACCATTGACCATGGTATTCTTTTGGGGTGACTGAGCTGGGAGTGGGTGGTACTGCATTGCAGTGGTTCTGCTCCTACTTGGTCAGCCAACTCCAGGGAGTGGTGCCTGGGGATTATCACTTGATACCATGGATTCTCCAGTATGGGGCTTTTCTAGACTCTCCCTTATCCCCCATGCTACATTGTCAGCTGTTTTAAATATGCATACTGGAATTTTATACTGAGTTTTATTGTCTTTTATTGTATCATTTGTATTTGAATAATTGTTGTAAACCAGAGAGCTTTGACTATTGGGTAGTGCAGAAGTAAGTCAGTAAATAAGTAAGTCACTGGCCTGAGAGCCAGTGTAGTGTAGTGGTTAAGAGCATGGGACTAGGATGCAGACGATCTGGGTTCTAGTCCCCGCTCAGCCATGGAGCCAACTGGGTGACTTTGGGCCAATCACAGACTCTCAGCCCAACCTATCTCACAGGGTTGTTGTTGTGGGGATAAGATGGAGGAGGAGATGTTAGCTGCCTTGAGCCCTTTGTAGGATAAAGGCAGGATATAAATCGAACTAATAATAATAATAAATAAAAAATATATAATTCTTCAAATTGTAAAATGAGTCATGGCCAGATATTTTGAACATTTCTTTTGCAAACAGAAATGCACCATGTATTAAATGGAGGTAAACTAATTTAAGAGCGATCGATAGTATTGTATTACTGAACAGCACATTATGTTTTCAGCTTTAAATGACTCATGCAGTACAGGCTTATGACAAACTGCCGTGTTTTCACACATTCTTGAACATACTTTATCCCACATTCTTGAACATCCTCTCAAAACATAAAAAGGTACTTAAAAGGTACTGTACTAAGTCTGTATTTTAAGTTCCCCCTTAGGCTATATTATTAAAATAAATCTTCATCCATAATCCAGATATTATGGATCTTAGCAGTTAGTTTGGCAATCAATCCAGGTTGCAGAAGTTCAAAATAAAGAAACCACTCGAACCTATTAAAGCACTGCTCTGTGTCTCAAAGTCCATCTGCAGCTCCCAGATTGCTGGCCTGAGAATAAGATGCCTCTGAACATGTAGTGGTTGACTATTCCAATTCCAGTTAGCTTAAAAACAAAGAACACTGGACTCAACTGAATAGAGATGTTAAAAATTCCAGACCTAATGAAATGAATTTTTACATTTTTAAGTGCATGAGTCTAAGAAATTATAGATCATCACTGCCACTTTTCAGCAGAACATGAGAGAATTTCATTTTCCACTTGTCAGTATATTATAATATTCACTGACATAAGCTAGCCATTTGCAGAATCCCACCAGTTGAAACTTCAGTGAAAGATCAAGCATTAAAGGATTATTCAGTAAGACATCTGACATTATCTCCCATGTACAACTCTTCAAAAATAAAACAAGTTGGAATATTGAATGTTTTATCCTTTGCAATTACACTACATTTCAAAAGTATAACCTAGAATGATTAGCACTTCTTACTGTTTGAAGAAAAAACCATAGACTTTGAAACATGGTGTTGGAGGAGAACTTTGAGAATACCCTAGTGACACACATTTGGGTCCTAGATAAAATCAAGCCAAAGCTTTCCCTAGAAGCA